TCATCTCAAAGCATTGGCTAAATGCTAAGTGACTTAGTTCTAGGAGAAAACCAGACGTAATTAAATTTTTTATTTCAAAAATGTGGGGCTGGTGTTATTCCTTTGTCTTTCATTTTCCTAAGATAAATATGCCATGTTATTGGCATATTAATATTGTTATTAATATAGTTATTAAAAGAACACAGCATGCATGCAGAATGCAATAGTGGGCACTAAAAGGCTTTGAGATCTTTCGTGAATATCTCCTGCAGCACATTTGGAGTGAAGCCACAGTGATTCGTGTTCCATATACAAATTTTATAATTGTTCTGTTTACGCTATCAGTTCCCAACTCACATGTTTCTTTCTTTTTCTACACTTCCATAAGTGCTTACATTATCTGTAGTCTCCTTATTATGCCACCCCCAGATTGAGGAGGAGGTGGTGAAGAGAGGGGAACAGAGAGGCAGGAGGTTGAAGAGGGAGGCAGGAAACAGAGCCCCCTCACCGTGTGTGTATGAGGGGAGAGGGCCAGCTGTACAAATTCTCCCCAAGTGGGCCTTCCAACCTTGAAAAGTCATAAACACAAAAGAACTACCATACAGAGTATGTGGCGCAGGAATTTCAGGAAACAAAAGGTCAAAGGGCTCCTTTGGGAAATATTTCAGATCCATGGAGTGCTGCTGAGGTTTGGTGATTTTGAAGCATTGATGAGTAACAAAGAGATAAACAAAATAGAAAATGCCTGATTATAAAAAGTTTCCAGTAGCAAGCAGCCAGGTTTTCAGAGTCAGTTAGCTTGTAGTTGGTATTCCTGTGAGCACTATTGCAAATGTGTGGGGCAACTTAATGGCCTTTTGGTAACTAAGGCAAGAATTTGAAAGAGCTATAATAGTAATAAGAATAATTCTGCTAGGGGTGCCTGGGGGGCTCAGTCAGCTAAACATCCGACTCTTGATTTTGGCTCTGGTCATGATCTCAGGGTCCTGACATGGAGCCCCACATCTAGCTCTACACTCAGCCTGGAGTTTGCCTATCCCTCTCCCTCTGCTCCCCCCACTCTCATGATCCCTCTCTTAAATAAATAAATAAATAAATAAATAAATAAATAAATAAATAAATAAAATATTTATTTCTTTAGATTCTGCTAAATCTAAATCTTTATTTAGAATGATTCTGCTGACCAGCCCTGTTCCAAAGATAACCTCACCTTCCCACCTTACAGAGCCCCCCACCCCATTCAGATCCAAACTGTCTGCTTGTAAAAACAGACAGGCATTTGGATGCTGGTCAGGCTCACATATTTTGAAGACCTGCTTCTGTCTTGTTCTCTCAGCCCCTCAGCCCTGTCTTTTATGCTCCAGATCCCCAAAAGCATTTACTTCCAGTAGCAAAGAATTTGAGCTCCTGCCAATGTTCAGTTCATTGAGTATTGGTGAATCACTAGGTGTGTGAGGCTGTGCTCCACTCTCTGGAACAAAGATGATGAAAAACAACTGTGAAGAAATGCCCCTCATTGATAAAACCAAACCACAGAGCCCTATACTTTTCAGAGTGGGAAATTAGGAGGATGGAAATTGTAACTGCCCAAGCAATCCTGGATGTGTGTAGTCCCTGGAACCATAACAGGCCCCTCACCAAGCACAAGGTTACCCCCAACCTCCTCAGCACCAGTCCTGCTGTCCCCATCTGACCCCAAGGACCAGAACAACTAAGAGGCACCTTGCTATATTTTCCTCCTAGCTCTCCCTTCCCACTTCCCACAAAACACTCCCTAGACTTCCCTGCCCCTTCCTTGAGTGCTTAAAAGACAGGCCTTAGCTCCTCAGACTGTCTTACCCTCTCATCTTCATCCCTCCTCCCACTGGGAAGACTCACTTCTCCCACAGGAGATAGCTGTGCTGTGTTGAGCTCCCCCAAAATGAACCTCATTCTTCAGCTGACAGCTGCTGGCCTCCAGCAGAGAAGGGAGGGCTCCTTTGCATTGCAGACCCCCAGTGCTACAGGAAGGAAGCCATGACCTTCATACATCCAGAGTTACTATTTGTGGTGACAGGAGGGCTGTGCTCTCTCTCATACAAGTATGAGGAGTTAGCCATCTAGCAGGAAGGATAGGACAGTGCAAAAGTAACTCAACACATAGTATGTAAGTCCACTCAGTGGCAGTGATAAAGTGTTAGGAGGACATAAATGAGGGAGAAAACATTTTGGGGGGATTGTTGATGGAAGGCTTTAAGAAATGAGAGGCATCTGAACTGGTTGTTAAAGAATGAGGAAGGTTTCCATAGACAGAGATGGGAAACAAGATCAGCCAAGAGAAACTAACCACACAGACTGGGCAATACAGGCCTACCTTGGGTGTATAAAAAAGCACACTAGGATTTGAGTCTAAATCTCTGGGTTTGAGCATACCAGAGCCATTTCTTATGGGCTTCTCAAGATTTATTAACTTTTTATTTTGAACACGAATGAAAGTCTGTACCCACCTTAACTGTTGAATCCTTTTGCTTTTCAGGCCAGAGAAGGGGAAGTAGCCATTATTGATAAAGTCCTAGACAATCCAGACTTGACATCTAAAGAATTCCAACAATGGAAGCAGATGTACCTCGATCTTTTCTTGGATATCTGTCAAAACACCACCTCAAATGACCCATTAAGTCTTTCTTCTGAAGTAGATGCAATCACTTCCTCTCTCACACATACTCACTCATACATTGAAACACATGTGTAAGTGTATTCTGTCCTCTGGCCATCTGGTACCTTCTGGTACTTTGATCAAGTATATGAGGTAGTTTTATATCAGTGTGTGGAACACTTGACAAGCTATACTTTAATGTTACCAAACTATATGAAACAAACCATATATGGTCATAATACCACTGTCTTTAATGAGCATTTGTATATTTTATATGCAGTTAGTGCTCAGCTTATGTTTACCATGTGCAAAATCAACTGTCTTCAATGACTTAAAATTAACTTTTGCAAACAACTCTGAAGACAGGTGGTCTTCAAGTAGTAAAACCACAAAAAGGCAGTTTTCTATCTAAGGTCATCTTTTCTCCCTTTAAGTTAATTTTATATAAACAAGACTTCAAAAGTAAATCACATTTTTTCAGGTGCAGACATCCTTGTGGGTGGGAAAGAATTTAAACCTTTTTTATATTTATTAAAATGTTCTAAGAATTTTCTTAAACATTGCACAAAGTTTAATGCTGTAGTTTTATTTTTGTGAAATGTAGATGTGCATACAAGAGTTAAGCAAAATAGAGGAGCATCAACATAAGAAAAGTTCAGGTATCTAATATTCGTCTTAACAGTCTGTTAACTTGTGAAAGCTGGTTAATGGAAATACTATTCCAAATCTATGGGGACACTTAATGGTGTATCAGGGCAAAGCTTTGTAAGATGTTTTTGTAACTAAGACCAAAATTGAAGATAGAGCTGCTTTATTTTCTTGGTTTAAATCTTCCTTTATTTTTGTAGTGATGAAATGCTGATTGTGTACAGAGGAATTTGAGAGTGGATTTTGTAAAACACAGCTAATTCACCCAGAACGGCAGCTAACAGATATATATATATATATAATTTCAGCCCAACTCATGTTTTTAAACTCCAGCTACTAAAAAACAAGGGATAATCAGAAATTAATCAACTTTCCAGTTAGTTTCCAATTTTCCCCCAGTCCATTAATTACACTTACGTAATTATATTTAAGGCAGGAAAGTAAAATACATTTAGATACAGGCCAATGTGTGTTCTAATACAGAAAACAATGTTGAAAAATAAAAATGTGCCTCTCTCCTGAGGAGCAAGAGGATAATGGTCATTCAGAAATATATTACACTGAATTATATGAGAGAAAGAATTTATAGAGGTTTTTCCTAGCTTCATGAATTGTTCTATAGAGTGGATGAAGTCTGTGAAAAAGTCCTCTTCATATATTTTCCATTTATAAGTATCTCGTTTTTGAAAGTGATCACAGCATGATAATGACTGTGCTGCTTTTTAGTGTCTGGCTGCATAACGTACAAGTCACAATTTGCTGTTTTTTTTTTTTAGGAGGAGGAAGGGACCCTCCTTTACTATTCTATATTCTAAAATCTACTTCTAATCAGCTTTATACTGTTGCCTGTACAGCTCAGTGAATGTACTTTCATCTCTAAGAGTTCAGATATATGCCAGTGAATATTTTTGCTGTAGAGGAGAAAGTAAAAACTCCACAGCAGGGATCTTTTTCTTTGCTTTTGAAACCAACATTGAATCACTATCGTTTTGCAGACTTTGCACACTGTACAGGAGAGTGGCCTTTCTACAGCACATTTTCAGTAATCCTATATTTAGTCAAAATGGATGAGAAATCATGTATTAATGTTTGTATGGAATTTTGGGTCTAGTGTAATATTTTTATCATTTAAAAAACCTATTTGTAAAAACATTTATTTACTGCATGGATATTGACGTACATTAAATTTGTGGAATTTTGTATATGTAAAAACAACAACAACAAAAAAAAAAAACAAACAAAACCTCTTGTCCTAAAATGAAGTGTGCTTGTTACAGGTGTTTAGACTTGTTGATGTTTACTAGACCAAATGTGTACATTCATTTAAAAATATCTGTATCTGATGGATGTGTCATGAATACAGCGGCAAGGTTATGCCCTGTAAACAACGAGCAGTTGATGGAAAGACTAGCTGTGTTACTACTAAAGCAGCTTTTACTGTTGTAAAGTCAGCTCTGTTGTTTTAAATGGTAAAAATTAAACTAATGAATTTTAAAAGACTCGTGATTAGCTTAGCATGAAAGAGACCTTTTAACACTATATTTATCTGTACATTTTATTGCATTAGTTTCAAATCTAGGAGAGAGGCAGTACTGTAAACTGAAGTGAAATAAATTTAGCTCTTAATGAATCCTTATAAAGCACCTACTTTATTCATACAGAGTCCTCACCACATTTCTTTGAGACCTAATCCCAGAGCCACCATCCCCTACTCCCTTCTCTAGTCCGGAGCTCTAACTTTGCCACTCCATCCGCAGTACAAGCCAGAAGCAGCAGCTGTTCAGTGTGTGCCAGTATCTTTTCTGAGACCCTGCAAAATCAAACTCCTTTCCCGTTTAGCTGACACAAACTTGAAAATTTCACCTACTCTTCTTTCCTTTCTGCTGATTCTTGGGAGGTTGGGGGAGGGGAAGGGACCGCCAAAAGTGTGTGTGTGTGTGTGTGTGTGTGTGTGTGTGTGTGTGTGTGTGTTACAACTATAACCTACTGGCATGTCTGCATAATGAACTTTTAAAGAAGATGAAAGAAATAGGATTGGGTTTTGCTAGATGTTCCACATAACCTGAAGAACCTGATTATTATGGCTAAGGACTACTGAAATAAAACAAAACCAATTTTCTGCCTAAAGCCAGGGCAAAAGCAGGCTAGGGGTAAGGATGAGGGACAGAAAAACTTAACGCAGGCCACTTTTTCAAAAACAAAACAAAACTTAGAGATTTTTTCCCCCTCTCAGTTCTACATTTATATTAAACCATCAGAGCAGAACCATACATAGTTCTGAATCCTGAAATCATAGTTCTCCTTATAATGATCCCACACTATTTACTGAAGGCACTTTCCTTCTCTATTTATTCAGATAATGCCATCTTTTCCGACTATTACAACCCTTATAGCTAACAATTTTCTGGGTTTTGCATAGAACTTCTTGCGGCCAACATTTTTGGCCTTGTTTGTTTGGCACAAAAGAAATCACTGGTTAGCACCTAGGGAAACACTTTAACTATCAGAGGGAGAACAGGGTCATATTGTATTTTTAAAAGTCCACCTCTAGACCAGCATGAGCCGTCCCAGAAGTCCTCAGCTTAGGGGGAATGTTCTTTCACCAAGGTCTCGTGTACATCCTTAAACTTCAGAAGCCGCTCTGCCCCCCGAGTCCCGTTCTTAGGGCAAGCCCACGCGTCACTCCGTAAGCCTGCCCATGCGCGACTTTCTCTCCTCCGTCGCCAAAGACCGCACTACCCCATTAAGCCCAGCACTAAATCCGGCGCCCCTGCGCGCCCGCCCTCCCTCTCCTCGTCCCCGCCCTCAGCCAGCTGCAGCACCGCGCACTGGAGGCCGCTCCAGGCCCAGGGTAGCGCGCAGCCAATGTCCTCCCAGCGGTCCAGGTCGAGGTCATAGCCCACCACGTTGCGGGTAGGCACCTGCCTCGACTCCCGCCACTTGAGGCCGCCCAGCAGCAGCGCCGTCTCCTCCACCACGGCCAGCCCGTAGCAGAAGCGATCGTAGGGCAGCGGTCGCAGCCGGGTCCACTGGTCCGTGCCGGGGTCATAGCGTTCGATCTCCGAGAAGGGCTCATAGCGCCCCAGAAAGGCGAACACCGCGCCGCGCAGCACGGCCATGTGGTGCCCGAAGCGGGCGGTGCTCATGGGCGCCCTCTTGCTCCACACTCGCTCCCCGGGGCCCAGGGCGTACACGTCCCGGAGGCTGCTCGCTCCGCCCTCGCCGCTTCCCGCCTTGCCCCCAGAGATGTACACGACGCCACGGTCCCCGACGGCCCCCGCGTGGCCGTGCAGCGCCCGCGGCAGCGCCGCGGCCGCCGTCCAGCGGTCCCGGCGCAGGTCATACATCTCCACAGACGCCAGCGCCTGGCCGTCCGCGCCCAGACCCCCGACGGCCAGCAGCCCCTCGCCCACCGCGCCGCACCAGAAATGGGCCCGCGCTTCCCGCATAGCGGGCAGCGCGGTCCAAGCGTGGAAGCGCGGGTCGTAGCGGTGCACCTCCGCCGTGACCGGCCGCGGGCCATCTGCCAGCGGCGAGGAGGCGGCCTCCGGAGGGCTCTCCCCGCCCAGGACGAACAGGAAATTGCCTGCGGTGCACACGCTGTGCCCCAGGAGCGGTGCAGGCAGCCGCGTGAGACTGCGCCAGCGGTGGTTGTACACGTCGAAGGCCAGCACGTCCTGGGTGAGCTCCCAGTCCTCCTCCTCCTCCTCCTCCTCCTCCTCCTCCTCCTCCTCCTGGGGCTCCGGCGCGGCGCCCCGGCCCCTGGCTACCCTCTGGGGGACCACGACCTCCTCGGTCACCGCCTCCCGAGCCCTGCGCCCCCCTACCAGCAAGATGCGGGTCTGGGGACTGCGGACGCTGGTCTGCTCGCCCTGCAACAGCGGCTGGCGGGAGGGCGCCCGGTGGTAGTTCAGGGCCTGGATGATGAGGCCCTTGACCCGCGCGGGCAGGTCGAGGCCAGAGCCCGAGTACACGCGCCGCAGCACGTCGGCAGGGACAAGGCCGAAGCGAACGCGCTCGAGCAGCGAGGCGCAGTGGGCCAGGCGTTCGGCCTCAGGTTCCTGCCGCAGCCAGGCCAGTGCCAGGCCCAGCAGCCAGGACTCGGGCACCCGCGCCAGGTCGGGGGCACCCAGAAGAGCCTTCAGCGACGTGGGGTTCAGCTCCAGCAGCCCCGCGGGGCCGGCGCCCCGCAGCAGCAGCTCCCTCAGGTGGCGCGCGATACAGCGCTCCGCGGCGCCCAACGTGTGCAGCAGGCCGAAGCGCGCCGCCACGTTGGCGGCGAAGCAGCAGTTGTCGGGAGCCAGCTGGCGCTCCAGGTAGCGGCCGCACAGCCCCAGTGCCTCGGTCACCTGCAGGTAGCTGGCGGCCTCCAGCGTGTCTTCCACCGTGTCCATGGAGAGCGGCAGCCAGGCGGTGTAGATGAAGTCCAGCAGGCGCTGCAGGCCGGCCGCCGACGGCACGTGCAGGTGAATCACGCTTGCCCTGGACTCCCGGGTGTGGCTCTTGAACAGGGCCCTGAAGTAGTCGCTGGAACACGCCAGGAGCGACCTGTGGGCCGGGAACTCGCTGCCCTCCGCCTCCAGCGTCACGTCACACAGGAAGCCCTCGGCGCGCAGGGCCTGATAGCCGGTGAGCAGTGCGCCGCCATGAGCTTTACAGTAAGATAGGAAATAACTCATGGTGCCCAGGGCGGGAAGCGGCCCGGCCGGCGCTGGGGCCCACCGGGGACGGCCAGAGGCATCGCGGGGCACCGGGCCCCAGGACCGAGTCCGCAAGCCCCAGAGCCCCTAGCGGGGGCCCGTTTTGCCTGCTTGGCCGAAAGCCCCGGCACCTTCAACCGGGCCTGCAGATACCCTGTACTCTCAGAGCAAACCCGGTCGGGGAATGGTTTCCAGAAGCTGCTAGTTGCGCAGGGCACGGAGTTGGGAGGCTTCCAGAGGGAGCGGGGTTTGCTTTGGGCGGCTGCCGAGGCTGCCAGCGCGTTCCCCAAAGCGCCCTCCCCGTCCCAGTCGGGGGAGCCCACACCTGCGCGGGGGGCCGCAGAGGCCTCGCACCATCACCTGCAAGGGCCGAGCTGCGGGTGCACGGATTCTGAGGGGTGCCTGATCTCCGACGGCGCTGATGCGCGGATGTGGCCCGGCTCGGGGCGGCCCGGGAGCGCGGGGCGAGGGCTCTGGCCTCCCGGGGGTGGACGACGAGGACGGGCGCTGCGGGCACCCGCCAGGGCCGGGGACAACTGGGTATGGGGCGGGGAGGGGGGTGAGCTTGTTCCGCCCGGAGGATCAAATCAAAGCCTGGGGGATTAAGGAGGGGGGGCGCAGGTCAGCGCGGCGAGTCGGAGGCATGATCGGGCGCCGTACATAACATGCCGGTAGCTCACCGCGACAGGAATAGCGCGCGGCTTCGGCCTCCCCGGCCGGCCCCGCCCCGCGCCCCGGCTGCTGGCCGCGAACCCAGGGCCGCGGCGCTGGAGGGAGCGGCCCGGGCCCGGGCCCGACTGCGGTGACCCGACGAGCCGCCGCTCACCAGGGGCTCTCGGGAACTCGGCCAGGGCTGCGGGAGGCGCTCACTGGAGGGGCGCGAGTCTCCGGCGCCCCCGGACCTGGTGGTGTCTGGGGGGAGGCGGCCGGCTGGGCGGGGGGGGGGGTGTCGACCCCAGGTGCGTTGGCGCCTGGGAAAGGAGCCCCGGGCTCAAACTTGCCGCTTCGAGAGGGGCCCTAATTCATCCGGCGGGGGCGGGGATTACGCGGCGACTTTGCGCGCTGACACCCAGGAGGCCGCTGCGCGCAGAGGAGCTGCGGGCGGGAACCGCGCCCGGGGGACCGGGCTCCCTGCCAGCGGCGCTCCGTAACGTGCCCCTCACCTGGACTCACCCTTTCGAGATGCTGGGCCTACTCTGCGCCCTTCCCGAGGCGGCCCGCGTCTCCCGGGCTGGCCGCTCTCACGTTCCGCGCTGGGGAATTTGCTCCCACCCCCGCTCCCTGACCCCAGCCGAGCTCTCCCTTCCTGTTCTTGGATCCTGCCCAACCCATCCCTTGGCAAAGTGGACAAGGAAATTCTAGGTGACTTGGGTTTTCTGCCTTTGAATGACCACTTCCTTTAAGAAAATAATTCGTTCCAGTTTCTCTCCCTGACTTTCCAGACTGTGATCTAATTACTGCCTGCGGCGTCTTCAACGCCGTGACGAGTTAATGGGCAGTAAGGTCGCAGAGCTGGGGAGAGGTTCGTCGGGCCCCTTTTCGTGAAGTTATTTATAAGATGCACCGAACACAGAAATGACGACTAAAACTGCCCAATCTTGAGACATTAGGAAAGCATTTCTCCATCTCCTCCATCCTGCTCTTAAATAACTAAATGATTAATATAACTGTTCTTTCTTGCCAATTTGGAGCTTCTGTGTTTTGCTTTCATCTAGAATTGATTTTTCTATTTTCTAATGCAACCCCTCTGGCAATCTGCTTTAAGTGAACCATTTGAGGGCATCTGAAATAACTCTCATTTCTGACAGTTGGGATGGTGTTTCATAAGAAAAAAAAAAGTCCAAGGAAGTATAAAAATGTATCGTTTTCTGCCTCGTATGCCATCCGTACTTACAAGGTCTCCAATTAGAATTCTTGAAGTGCATAAAAATATTAGTAAAATGATCCTGCTTTCTTGTCAAAGATGGAATTGCTTTATGACTTAAATTAGCCAAATTATAAAATGCAGGCAGAGGCTCAAGTTAAGGACTTGCTTAAACTCCAGAGGCTAAAAATACTCCAATTTGAATTCCTAATGTTAAAACTACAGATGGATTCAGGCGGGGTGCTGGTTGGTTTTTTTTTTAAGTACTAAAATTCTTAGTTCGAAAATAAAATACCACTTTGGTTCAGTGTGCACAGATCTGAATGGTGAAATTAAATGGCCTTTACTCGACCTAAAAGAAATTTGCTAGAAGGGGCATTGCAGATCATTTAGCCAAACTCTCTCCTTTTTCTCTGCAATTTCTTGTTTTTCTTTTCAAACAAATGTGGCAAATGAGCCCCAGACAGAGTACAATTTGTCTGGGTGACTTGCATATTGAGTTACAGAGTCTGGACGGGAATCCAGGGCTCTCTCCCCACTATATTATGTGACCCTGTATGATAAAAATAAAATAGTGCAACACACCATCAGATTGCTTAAACCAAATTTCAGAGTGATAAAGTTTGAATACAGTTTTTTAAACAGATTTTTTTAACCCTCAAATTGATCACATCTCTTCAGATCTGTCCATCATCATGCATTCAGGTTGAATCCAAAGTGTCACACTTACTCGAGAATAAAGATGCTGTGGAAGGCTTTACATCTTGACATCAAAATTCAATTGTACACAACAAGCAGGTGTTCGTTGCTGGCACAACATGCCACCTTTACGTATTTTGCTGTTGAGGATACGATGAACTGTGTTAACAGAAGAAATTTTCATATTGGATGTGTTTCCAAGGTTTTGTCTAGAAATGTAATTATCAGTCCATCCAAGAACATTCTTGTCCTTTGAGTGACGTTTGTGGAAAGGATCAAGATTTTAATTTTTGTGCAACTGTAAGTATGCTAAATAACATTTCGGTGTGTGCTTTCTTAGTTGCTGTGATAGATGTATGTCTTAAGTTGGATGCCCTAGAAGGAAGCATCTCTGCAACCCAACCTGAAATGCATGGTGATGAGCACATGTGGTAGGATACAATCCTCACGTTAAAAATGATCTGCTATGAGTGGCCTTCCCCCTTTAGACTATAATCTCCCCAAGGGCAAGGACTGTTTCTTGATTTTTTTTAACCTCTAGCCCCTATCACAGTCCTTGGTGTAAGTATCGTTTGAGTTGAACAGATCTGGGGAATGGTACCTAGTGGTACCATCAGTGGGAGGTGTAAAGGGTTATTAAGAGGAACTTGACTGGGACAATTAGTTTCTTATCTCCTGTTCTCTTTCTTCCCTTCACATGGCTGGGGTTGAAGACACATCCTGGTCAGCTGTGAGCTAACAACCCTAGGAATCAAATAAATGGGTAACTGTCAGTGGTGCCTCACTGGACCCAACGCTCCTGAGAAGCTCAGACCACCTCATAGGGCCCCCATTGCAGGCCACTGCTGCCGTGCAGCCTGGGTCCTTCACCCAGATCAGCTGCACACAGCTCTCAAATCTAGTCAGACGTGCTACTGCCACTCCTCGCTGGATAAGGGGCCCCAGATCCCCCTGCAGCTGCTCTGTGCCTCAGTTCATAACGGCTGGGCTTCTCCTGACAGCCCAGCTACACACCCCAGCATGCCTGGTGGTGAAATTTGCCCTGAACCCTTAACCCCTCATCAAGACTGTGACCTGCTGTCAACTTTCCCTTCCACACATCTGCCCCTCCTGTGAGAGAGCCTAGAGCTGAAGCCCTCCAAGCACCCACCTGACTTTAAGGTGGCACCACTAGGAAGCCATGACGCTCCCCTTGGCCTCAATCAGTCCTGTCTAGCTCAACCTAAGTTTCTTTTTTTTTCAACCTAAATTTCATAGTTGTCACCTCTAAAAGAATTGTGTATGTTTTAAAAAATAAAAAACTGCAAATATCCATGTATAAGAGACACACCATTTTTTTTTTTTGCAAATGCAATGTGCTTTCCTTGGTGACAGCTTTATGGAGATACAGTACACATGCCATACAACTCACTAATTTAAAGTGTACAGTTCACTGGTTCTTAGCATATTTACAGTTATGCAACCAACACTGGAATCTAATTTGGGGACATCTTCATCCCCCCATACAGAAACCCTGTGCCCTTTAACTAGACTTCTCTATACCACTAGGCCCCCAGCCTTAGGCAAGCATTAATCTACTTTCTATCTCTGCAGTTTCTGTACATTTCATATAAATGCACTCATACAATACTTGGTCCTTTGTGACTCATTTCTTTGACTTAGCATGTTTTCAAGGTGCAGTCACTGTAATGCACTTTTGAGGAAGAAAATGATTATGAATAGTAATAACATTGGGAACCTTTTCTCAAAACCACAAAACTCTAAAATATGCCTATTTGATATTTAAGATACAGTTTTTGGAAAGTTATCTGCTTATCTATCATTGGCTGCTTTCAATCCCAATATGCTTCCTTCTAATGCATGGCTTCTGGCAGTCTCCATAGAGAGCCTACAATTAGGAATGGACACATGTATGTTAGCTAATTATGAAAACATGGTTATAAACAATAACACACACCCAGTAGAGAAAAACTCCTCTGTTACCTTCACCCTGTTCCAAGACCACTGTTTGTGTACATGAAATGTATTTTATCTTTGTGGCATGCAGTTCAAGTGAAAGAATTTCAAGGGACATTGTGTGTGTGTGTGTCTGTGTGTGTGTGTGTGTGTGTTTTAATCACGTGATTTTGGTGTTCTGCCCCAGCTGACAGTCTAAGAAGCACCATAGCAGTGAGGAAGGACTCAGCTTTGGGGTCAGACAGACCTGAGTTTCACTTCCAGATCTGCCCCATGTGACTTTAAGCAAGTAACTTAGATTTTTTTTTTTTTGGTTTTTTAGAAATTAATTTTTTTAACTAACTTAGATTCTTTAAGTGTAGTTTTATTGTTTTTAAAAGGAAGATAATGACTATACACTCATAACACTGTTAAAATTAGATTATATATATGTATATAATGTATATATATGTATATATAATATATATGTGTATAAATGTGTGTAT